CTTGCATAAAACTAAAAAGCCGCTAATTAAGGGAACCAACGTGAATATGCATTGAATGAGGCACTTGGTAGTGAGTGCTATCCGATTATTTGATGCAACTTTGCTGTGCCTGCACAAGACCCAGCCTGACTTTGATGTCTTATAAGCTTTGTATTGCTTGTGTAATCCAAAGAGTTGTTTGCCGAACCCTGATCATCTGTTTCAGCACTGCCGAACAACCGAATAATGGCCATAAACAGAGGCCTGAACATCGTTACAAAAGTTGGTACTAGTGGAAAGCAGTTTATTTTTTAAAGGCCTATTGTCACAAGGTGTTCTTTTGTCGTTTGAACGATTCAGTAACATGGGAGAGATTGTACATGCTTTTTCAAACCCCGTGTGGAATTAGCTTTATTTGTAAGGTATGTTGGAGAAACCCATCTCTGATGTGTCTACGCTGTAGTGATATTCATGAGGAACAGGCTTGGAAGGACACCACTGAGAGGTAGTGAGTATGTGTACAACTCATTTTCGTGCTCACTCATTGGACGGATCTAATACAACTTAGTTATCAATACACGATGTTTGAATACTATACATCATATCTTGACGGTTCTTCCCTACAGCTATCCTCTCACGTCAGATCGGGACGGAAGTTCCGGACGATGAAGCGTCCAGTATAGATACATCATCCTCTGTGAAAACCCACCCGGACGTGAGTTACCTTTCCCATCTGCTATTCAGTTTGCCCATTGTTGACGATGTTGCATGCAAATTTTCGTAGCGGGTCCGTTAGATATATCGCAACTTACGTTAGACTAAGAAAATCGAAGCAACTATTCTGACGCATTTAAAAAAACGACTTAAATGAAGTTGATAGAATCAGATGCTGAACGCAAGGAAGGATAAACAGACTGTGGTAGTTCACCGTGTTATTTGGGTCCCATTGATCTTTTCCAGATGGCGTATGATTTCTAACGTATGCATTTACCAGCAATACCTATTGTGCACACATTTCCCGGAAAACTGAATCCGTATTTCAAATTCGGTGTTCGCCAGTGGGGTGTTCGTTTTTTTTTGTAAGTGATACAGCGCACTAGCCCCATGACGGTCTTCGTAAAACAAGCTTTAGGAATAATGTCGTCTCTACGGGTTGAAACTGGGACTTACTGTTACTGACGTTCGTCATGCACATAGCCATACGATAGTATTGAAAGCCGCGTTTTTTACGAAAATGATAATCGGTTAGAGGTAGCCACTTACGGTCTCTTCCTACCGTCATTTTCTGTGACTATACCTTCGACGATAAGGTTTCACGATAGCACCCCTTGTTCTACCTCCATTTTCTCGACGTTGGACTTAGGTTGCTACTCAAACCAGAGCACATGAATCAATAGATGTCATCGGGTGTTTTTATTTTTGTTGTCTCTCGTGCTTGACAAATTATCGTAGAAGATTTCACGTCTGGTTGGCCATCGCAGTTTCTCTTACATGGTGATTAGTTAATGTAACACAATGGTAACATGCGGACGTTTTAAGATAGCCCTAAATGACACGTGGGGAATATATCACGCTTAACGCTATTACAATCGGTAATTGCACGAACGTTGACCTTATAGCGGTGTCCGCCGACGTCTGTGATTAAAAAACCGTCGCGCAGGGACACCTTCGGTCAAATTTACTTCGGTATTTTAATTCTTTTTAACATTTCACCATGTGGACGAATCTATACATGGGTTTACTGTCGACGTAAGATCTCATGTGCGTGATTCATTGTTGTGATAATTACATCCTGTTGCACGACATAAAGTTCAATTTTTGTGGACGATTAGAAAGGAATTTCCGCCTTCACAGGGACTGTACTCCGCTAGAACAAATAACATTACAAAACTAATTCCGTGAGTCATCTGATGATCAAAAGTCTTATGGCCTGTTCGTATACGCTATCGCTGGTCACATCTGACGTACCGTATATCCCAAATAGATCTCTTACTTGTACATTATACCTTGCTGACTTCTCATTAGATGTTCTGATTTTACTTAGATTGTCACCATGGCAAACTAATCTTTAGTGGCGATTTTAAGCAGTTAGTTGAATTGCTTCAAACTTACGCGATATGAGCTAATCACATGCACATGCCACTCGTCACCCGCATTTCTCACTCGGAATGGATGGTCTCTAGCCAGGTCCGTTTGCTCTTGTTTGACTTGATTCATAGGTTCACGAGATTCAGCCAACTCTCCACTCCAGCGAGACCCCGCTGTGTCGTTGCACCCGTTCCCGAAGGCTTTCAAAGGACAGTCTGCAAGGCATCGGTTCTGATCCTGCCGCATCTCCGAATTTGCAAACCGATCCACTAAGCCCATCTGGGTCAGCCGTGATCAGTGGCACCGACAATGTTGCCTCACCACCGGTCACTCAGAGTTTGAACTCCAGTCCTGGTGTAAGTGGCGTTGAAGTAGGTTCTCCGGCAAGTGGTCGAAAATCGCTTCGCAAAGGGGCTCGTAGGGAGCCCAAGTCTGGATCGGTGTCAGTGCAAAGAGTCCAGATAGCTGATTCAGAGCCTGGTAAGGTCGAATCCTTTAATAACATTCGGCTTCATTTGACAGATATACATGTTTGTGACTTTCGCCGCTTGGTTAAGCTAGACATAAATGTTCATGTGCGAATACTTGTACTTTCCTGGGGCATTCTAATCCTCAGCGAAGTTACCGTTTAAGATGGTTGATAGGTTTTCAAACCTTAGGGCTTTGTATGACAGTAAGGTAAGGTGATACTTTGATTAACTTATCTACACTGCGTCTAAATACAGCAGTGGTTTCGATTGGCCCAGTTATTTTTGGAACAGGCTACTAGCGATGTTAGCGACGATTCATTTATTTGGCATAGAGTATCCGATCACGATAGCCAGCGGCAGGCAGCTTTATCGGACATGTGTTGTCCGCCGAGCTGGTTAATGGCTAAAACACCTGACAACTGTGACTTGATTGCCAGAACTATATTCCTCGAAAAACTTCTATCTGTGACAAGATTTCGCCGGCATCCCGTTCAGCACACTGGAATTCGTGGTGAGAATCTGTATCTCAGAACGCACTTTTTTGTGCCTCAAAACTGGTAGCGATGTTGATGTCGAATAAGATCATCACCACACGCCCCGTTATCTTTTGCTTTTGGGTTATATCTCATGCTGGAATTTCCCGGTACCACATCTCTATCGTCCTTCTGACTACTTCCATTTGTGGTCAGGGCGCTAGTTACCGGTAAATATTATGCCATCATATGTGTCTCGACATGCACTCGAGTTTCTCTGTCGTAAACTCCACCAAGTTGTCGCCTACTTTAATTACTGGTCAAGCGAATTCAAATTAAAGGTGACCCGCGAGTATCGTGAGGTAATGTTGGGGCAGTGCTATCAATTCCGATCATAAATATGCGTCAACAGCAAAAGCCTCTGACGTTGGACATATTCTTATGTAGGTATTGAATCTATTTCAGGATTTTGCGAGTGTTTCCTGTGTGCCTTCAAAGGTCCTGTTTTCTGGTCAGCTGTGGTTTCTGCATGGGCACCACCCGACTGGAACACCCACCAGTCCTGTGGATTTTTCGAATACAGCCGAATCTTTGAAAGTTTCCGCACAGACATGTGTTCGTCTTAGCCTCTTTCGAAACGTTGTTACTCGGAATGATCCGGAAGTTATCATATAATCCATTTTCTTAGCTTATTAAATTTAACTAACATGTCGGACACAGTAGGCGACACTACTTGCCATTATGCAGCTGTAACTGTGAAAAGAATGCTGCGATTCACGCACCCAATTTTACACTGGGTTTGTCTAAACACAAGCAACTGCACTGTTATGTATGTATGACACCTCATGTTCCTTAAATGTGAACCAAATTCAGTTTGACCAAGAACCACTGTTATGATTTGTATTCCCTATTCACACCCGTTATTTTTTCAGCTCTTAGTCCTTTGGCGTCCGACTGCGGTCAGCTGGACGAGCTTCCTACTGCAGCTACCTCAGCCCTCACTCTTGCTCGCCGTTGGCGTCGAAGTCTGCTGTCTGCGTTCTTCACCATTTGCAGTCACCGCCATGCATATGTGTTCATGCAGCCGGTCACGGAGGACATTGCTCCAGGTTATGGCTCTGTTGTCTACGAACCGGTGGATCTGACTTCCATACGTCGCCGGATCGAATCGACGCTAAGCAGCCTGAACAGCTCACAACCATCAAGCAGCCCAACACAAATCCTCATCGATGCGGCGACCAGGTTTATTCGAGATCTGATGCTGATGTTTGTGAATGCCCGAATGTATAATAGCCAGAATCACGAAGTTCACCAAATGGCCGGTGATATGTTCAATGATACAATGGTTGAGGTGATTTTTCCCATCATTCTTTGTGGATCCTCATTAAATTTCTCCTTTTGGTCGCCACATTTCACTACTCTAAGTACTGTACCTATCGTTCAGGTATTTCATTGTAATTCAGACTACGGCGATCCGACGACTGACGAAGGTTAAGGCGCGAATCCTTAGCCGAGTACATCTGCGGTTTCTCTTAGCCTTGGAGCGATATGGAGAGGCCATAGCTTATCTCAGTTATTACCTCACCGCTTTGTTCCTTGCCACGGAGACTAGCATGGTCCCGCGGAACGCTCGGCTGTTCAGTGTATATGTACCATTGTAGCGTTTTCACTTTGTCTGGAAGCCTTCTGACTCATGTTACAATGCTTTCTGGTTGAGGCTGATGGACGATACTTCTGACCAAGGTCGACCTCAGGAGCTAAATCGCAGAGGTATATCTGGAGATGTAGGCACCTCGGAATAATTGTGGTAAGCTAGCACTAAGTCCGCCTTACGCTTATCTTTACAATAAGGCAGTGAAGCATCAGTGTTGAACACTGATATGCTGTCGATGATGATGATATCAAGAAGATGATGGTATGTGCCGTGTGAACACCATTGCGTATATACGATTCTTGTTTATTTTTTATTGCTTTCAATTAGCTTTTGGATGCTTATCTGCAGGACTGCTGAGCAACCCGATTAGGAGTTTCTATCCCAACTGTCATAAACCGCAATGCTGAAACTGTCGAACCCACATTTCGTTTTAGCCTAAGCTCTCACGACCGTGGAATAATGCGCGTCCTTGATTGTAGCTATGAATCGAATCAATCCACATGACAGCAGAAAATCAGTTTCAGACAAGTTTTGTTATACAGGAGATATACGTTAGACTTTAAAGTATGTTTTCAGTTCTTGCGTCAATTACAGTCTACGCGTTTTCTCATGCTTGGTTTTCTAAACGATGACAAGGAACATCAGCACCACGGCAGATCCTGGAGCTTGCTGTCGACTGAATAAAAGGCAGTTTCAAACGTGCAAAAAATACCAGAAACCTTATGCCATATTCCATTGCAATCTTATCAAACACGCTTTTTCGTTAGTAGTTTTTCATTGCCGTTCGAGCTACCAGAATAATTGTTTCTTCGCACAAGCTAATTTTTCTAATGAATAGGTACTCAAGTCCACGCTCTTTCGTTAGTAGTTTTCCATTGCCGTTGGAGCTACCAGAATAATTGTTTCTTTGCATAAACTAATTTTTCTAATGAATAGGTACTCAAGTACCTGGCATACGGCACGGTCACCACCTGACTTGACGTAAGCCCTCTCAAGAGCATAGATTTACAATCATTATTCCTTGTTCCCTTTGTTTCATCAGCTTCAGCCCCTCTGGTCCGTTCTTGTGGAGGATATACCCGACTTCCCATCTCTACCGGAGCCAACAAAGCCAGCAGTGAGTCAAAGCACTACAGGCCGTGCATCTCTTCGGAAGTCTGTAACCAAAGCTACAATGGGATCTATGCCATCCCCATCGACTTCTCAGAATCCTCCACGTACTCCTGATCCAGTAGTGACAAAGACACCCTCTTCTACCCGTCCAAACAAGCGGTTCCATCCAGAGGTAAGCCACTCATTCACCGCGTCGTGATTACTGTTTTCGCCTATTCGTTAGTATAATCTCTCATGATTACTGTTTTCGCCTATTCGTTAGTATGATAGCATCTTTCCCACTATGTGTGTGCACCATTCACTTCCATTTACACTCCATTTCCCTTATTAGACTCCCTCTCCTACGTCGCCCCTTCGAAAACGCCACCAGTCATCCGGAAGTGATGCCTCCGGAGGTCACGCAATCAAGAAGTAGTTACTGTGTCTGCCTTTTTTCTTTTAAAAGCCTCTTCACTACAGATGTCAACAATGTAATTGAATAAAACTATTTTTGATGTTTGCCATTTTTTCGTTTTGAATCTCATGTGATGTGTGACCGGAGATTTTATGACAACTCTACTTCTTTTCAGCCCTCGATCTCATGACTTTGCGACTCAAAGCTCTGACTTCAATTGATGTAACGAAAGACGAACGTGATGGCAAAGTGAGTGAATGCGTCTACATTTCTGAGTGATTGTTGACAACCACTGGGTGAGCGATCATTGAGTGGTCGATTATCTCTGTTAGACACTGTCCGCCGCGAATCGATCACGTCAGGTATACAAGTTGGAACCTAATGATGTAGGGGACCTGTTCAGTCCAACAGAATAAATATCAAGAGGGTTCCGTGAACCGACTGGTTGTCAGTTCTCAGCCAAGTCGGCAGCACTCACATCAGTATTATCCAACCGAGGTGTGGTATCCCCCCAAAGGGGGTTACCACGGGTTCACTGAGAGATAGAATCTCCATATTTGAAGCCGCCAACTGTTTGAATCCTTCCTAACTGTATGCATTAACGACAGCATGCTGCGAAAATGGCAGCAGAAGATAGCTGCAATTTGTATGTTTTTTTCTCTGTTACCACCGGTCTCCACTCTTGGGGTTTCACGCGCCTGAAATGTAAACACATTTCCAGACTTGAACTTATATGTGATCTTGAGACAACTAGAAATCAAAATGCTTGAGAATGTGCCTTCATCTCAAAATCCGACTTCCTATGCTGTGGAAGTTCGATTATGGGATCGATGGTCGGTGCGTCGGATCCCCAGTCCATGCTCTTTTACTATGTGCTGCTGCGTGTTACGGTCTTTTTTTAGTATCCGTACAAGTAAGCCTACCTTATTTGTTACGTTCGCGACCCATTCAATTGCATGATAGTTGTCTTGATTCTTATGGGAGAAGCATGAAGACTCATTTGATGCTCTTCCTAAGGTGTGCACCTGTTAAGCAAAATGATACCGGTGGAGCAAAAGCAATAGTGATAACTATGCACTGACACTTACCGAGAAGTGGTAGGAAACGTCGCCCTCGCCGACATCAGTTTGCGAAAGCGTGAATCATCATAGTCGACCATAGACTGTATGCGGATTGCGTCATGTATATCGTATTTCGGTTAACTTTTCCCCCTTTATTCTGGAGAAATGGAGGTTATGACTGGAAACACTTTGTGTGGCATATATGGGTTTTATGATCGCAGTGGAACTTACATCCATCCTCAGTGGTGAGATGTTACTCCTGGCAAGCTGTTGTCAAACAGTTCACTAGTGCTGAATGAGTTGGAGAAAGCCTTTGGAATACTAATTTACACCTCGTGCGCTGTTTCAGAGTCACAACAATGCTTTAGAAAATGATACTGGATCTAACTGAAGTATTTCGGTAAGTGAGTCAGCAAACTACTGAGGCTTTTTAAAAGTAGCCTTAGGATTAGTAAAACAGTAAAGACACAGTCGGAGAAACTCTGATCCAGCCATACATTCTCATGACGATGGATGGTGCTGAACAGTGAACCGGAGAATACTTCACTATCATGAAATGCTTTCCAAAGGAGGTTGCTCACGCGTTCATTGAAATCAAGTGAGACTAGGGGGGCGCTGCAGCTTCCACTTAGCGTGGTAAGTTAGCTGGTGCAGTTCACCCGAACTGATGATTCCAACCGGTTCGAAGTAACGTACCCCGGATAGGATATCGGCCGTTCCGGTATGTTTCCGGACATTTGGAAGAGTTTCTTTATTTCAGTACGATCCATGCACGCAATTACCCTCGTTATCGTGACAGATCTAGGTTAAATCTCAGGAGAAAATACCAGAAAACAGATATGATTTCTAGCACTGCATTGAAACATACTGGGATCCCTATTAGCCTAACACGGGTTGTCCCTTAAAGGTGCGAAATCTCAATAACTTATCTGTCAACCACCTTGACAGACCATTGCGTTTGTATTGGGTTTGTTCAATTTACCATTACACTTAGGACTCCGGTTGATAAAAACAATGACTTGTTTTTTAGCTGTAGGCGAGTAGACCGGGAGGTAACTGAGATCGGCAATGCCGTAGCAAGTGAACCACCGGGCCGAAGATTGAACATCATGAGAGGATAATTCGTGATCGAACGGATAAATGCCTAAACTGCAAGAGAACTCTACCACCGAAATATTGGAAACAGTAAAACGGAACCCCATTACCAACTTGAAAACTGCTTATTTTCGTGGGACGCGAAAAACGCAATCTGATTGGGCAACGAAAAGTGTATATAATGAGAAACCGATCTCTGGATTTCACCCTTGCACTACTCACTTTAAATGGACAAAGGCTTCTTTTGCATTTGTTAGTCAGGCTGTAGAATTTTTTCTGTAGAATTTGTCACATGGCAGCGAAAAAAAGACAATTATACAGTGGTAAAACATAACGTGCGCTTAACTCTCGTCCTTTGAGCTTTTCTGAGCTTGTCGGGTGGAGAGCAATTGCATTTTTTCAATAACTGACGTCTTGATTTCCACTAAATGCCACCTTAGTTAAGGTGAAGCGAATCAATGCCCCCACTGGGACTCAACCAGGATATTAGTAGCCCGCTATTTTATTCACTACTCGTTAGTAGTTTATATACTTCCCACTTTTCAGGCCAGTGATGCCTGAAATGGGGGGTGACTCTCCAAATTACTGAGTGGAGCGTACACGGCGATGGGACATGATAATCATATATGATATAGCATAAGCAGTTAGTGATTCCCCTGTACGGGCACCATGAGGAGTGTACCTCTATAATTCAAATTTTAGAGTGATGTTTGTCTTCCACATTACTGTGCGATTGCTCAAGGTCACGTGTTCAACGTTACGTGATTCAAATGGCTACTGAGTACACTGTTGATCGACTGGCCGTCCTTTGTTTGTAGCTCACCACTACCCGTCGAGGGAGTTTTAAAAACCAAGTACCTTGAATGTCTTGGGACCAGTTTCTGGGTGCTAACGTTGAATCAGCGTTTTAAGTTAAGCTCTGAAGAGTAATCAAGGTACTTCTAAATGCCGTGTACTAGGTATGTGCTAGCCTCTGGGACTTAAGTGCTTCGAATGCAAGTTTAACAGTTTAGTATCCAAAGCATAGGCACATTGAGACCTTTCCACAGTGACCACTTTGGATCGAATTTCCATGATTACTCATATTGTCGGTGACAACAGCCTGACAAAGTGTGTCCTCAATAGGGCGAAAGAAAATCTTACGACATGTTACGTTATTCCGTGCTCAAGCTTTGAGTTAAGAGATCATGTGCTCCGACCGCTTGTCACCATCCCCTTTCTCAGTGGCTGTAGAAAGGTTTTGCTGCGTATTGTGGTAACTAGAGACGAGTCAATTAACTGGATCTGTCGGCGGTTCACAGCTAAATTAGTCGATTCGTATTTTATTTTATCAATGTACCCGCCGAAATATGTGACTTCACCATGGCCTGTATGCAAGTGCACGTAGTGGCGTATTATTCTGGACGTAAGTAGGTAGAAAAACCTCACCAAAGTGTGTGCTGTCGCAAAAACGGGTGTACCGTTATGATGGAGACGAATCGGTTTTTTCTCACCCTACTGGTCGTTTATGACACAACTGTCAATTCAGATTTATTCGTTTCACCATACCTGTTGGAAATACTTGACTGAGGACAAACCAATGAAGCGCAGTGGTTCGCTTACATTAGGTATATTACATTTTGGCTAGAAACGCACTGATTTCCTAATTTCGTCGCTTCCTTTGCTTCGTCGAATTATTTGATTCGCACTTGTTTGACAATGTCAGCTGCAGCATGTGGTTTGAACCTCAATAATATATTATGCCCGCTGTTGGTGATGGTCGCCTGGGAGACATTGCAGCTTAATCGTGTGCTGTCGCAGTAGAACGAGACAGGTGCGCTCAATGGCAACGGATTTTAGGTTATTAATAATGTAAGAATAATTGTGGTTTTGTGTATGAGATGATGATGACCAGCCGGTATATTGGCATCGTCCGCATACTAGCGAACCGCTGGTTCTGCTGCACGTTTCACCACGATCGTAACTGTACATATGCAGTTTGATGTGGATAATACCTCCAGTGTTACTTGGGGCGAGATAGCCCAGGTGGTTAGAGCGCGAATCTACTGACCGGAAGGTCCGTGGTTCGAACCCGACCTCCAACTCTCGACTTTCCCTGTCTAGGCTTGGGCAACCTGGCAGTATTCCAGCCCTCATGCAACCTTCGGGTGGCGTGGCAGTTAGGCACCGAAAGGGTGCTACAGCTGAGTGATTTTACTTGCTCCCACCGGCCTTTACTATTCGATTTTCTCCATCCCTATTCAGGCCTTATACCCATTCTGAATAATTGTATCAGCTATGAACCACTTCACCCGTTTACTTGAATGATCGCTGGTAAACGTAACCGATCCTTGAATATACCGTATACGTGCTCGAAAGCAAATTACACAAAACGAATGTCAATGGGTGAAGTTAATTACGCTGTATGGGTTCTCTCTCAGTGAACATAAACGTGTGTCCTGATATCTGGTGTATCGATCTAGGGAACCGTAGATTTCAGTGACATTCAGTGAGTGTTACATGGCGAGTAATTAAGATTCTGTAATGTGTGAAGTAGTAGAAACAGTGATAACATCTATCGAATGAGCATCAAGTAGGAACAACGTTTGATGGAAACGTAGGGAACTATGTCCACCTGATGAGCCCCGGACGTGGTAAAACTGGGGGTGCAATATTGACAGTTTTTTTTAAAGTTACAGTTTTTTTCATAAGTGTGCACCATCAAGTAAAACTATACACCAATATGTTGGACGTCCCCTCGGAGACAGGTTTTGCGCTGCACATGACGAGATCGTCCGTCAGTTATCCTTCACCAACCCTATGAATAGTCCATAATATCAGAAGGTAAGGTACTAAGGGAACATCCAGGAAGGGGACATTCCCAGTAAATCACGTCACAGTTGGCTTATGTGTGAAATACTTTACCGAAAACTCCTGTAGATAGTGGGAATTAGAAGATGTTCAACACCTCGCTTTTATTGTTTGTTTCCACTAGAGTAGCCAGTGTCCCAGTTCTTTGGGGTTAATCACTTTAATGGGAGATAGCCGCGTATAGTTGGAGCGTACCTAGTGGGCAGGTGAAAACGAGCATACTGTAGGTACAGTGGTCTGATGGACTTAGTGTGTAGTATAAACCTCAACAGCCGGAAATTACTTTCTCGTCGAGGGCATCTGCGTCGATTTCGAATCCGTGAATGCCTCTCAAATTGGTCGCATGCGCCTTATAATTCAGAACAATGGGATGGGATAGAATCAATTCGAATCCTTATTTTCTCGGAATGGGACACGTTTTGTATCGCAATGGTTGGTTTCCCAAGTCTTATCATCAGATCAACTTATTTGTCATCACTGAGTTGATCCTTACCAATAGTCTGCGCATATAGATACATTTTTTCCGCTGTTTTCCGAATTCAGTGCTGGAATCCGAAAACCCAAAGTCCTTGTTTATTTTGATATGGATTACATTCTTTCCGCTGTTTTCCGAATTTAGTGCTGGAATCCGCATTCCAAAAACCCAAAGTCCTTGTTTATTTTGATATGACCAGGTTCGTGATGTCTGCCGCAACGCCATCTGGAGTCTGTCATCATGCAAACCTGGCCATGGGATTGATCAGTTGTTAGATGAATCAACAGATACCTTTTGGCAATCAGACGGTCCACAACCACATTGCGTAAACATACAGTTTCCGCAAAAAACCACTCTCACTCGTCTGTGCCTCTACACAGACTACAAAGCAGACGAAAGCTACACACCTAGCAGGTAAGTCTGTGTGCTTTCCCTGATTGCTGTGTGTCTAGTTCAGGAGATTTACGGTGTGAATAAACAAATTGGACAACGTTCGTCCAACGCATGCTGCCGAATATTAACTTTGCCACTCTAGTTTTTGGTACGCCCTCTGGATACACCCACACCATCCAACAAACGAGAACAAGATTAGGTCAGACAGTACAGATCCAGATGGGAGTGACCAAAAACTGAGGGCCCAGAGCGATTCGGGAAATGTGCTCCCGGCTTACGCTCTTGGCTACCCCAAGTGTTTTGGGAAAACGCGACTTGAAATAATTCTCAAATTCAATGTTTCTTGGATAAATGGGAGCTTTATTCAGGTTGGACGATAAATCTGAATTATCTTTTGCAACAATTCACACTTGTTTTTTTGGGCGACAAAACCTATCAGCCTGATCCTTTAGTGTGCGATTGTGCTGCTTTTAACCTGGATGCAGGTTTTCACCTCTCTGAGAAAGTCCCGTCGGCGCAATTTTGACTCAAAAGCGCCGTGAAACAGGTCCTCGTCAAATCCTCCGTTGGTGGTCCTGCGTGGGCGTCGATCGGGCGATGAGTCGTCCGAACCACGTTTGTCACGTACGTACCGGCACTGCCATGTGCGTTCTAAACTGCGTGGGCTGTCGTACGAGGGCAACTACCGAGCCTATGGCTGTCGAGTAGACGGCTGTCTGATGTAGGCCGGTGTGATGCGGAGGTTGCGCAGACAGTGACCAGAACGCTGGAGGAGCACAAGCTTTATGGATGTGCACATGTTTCGTCCACGTGATGTGGGAGCAGCTGAATCATACCGATAAAATTCGACGGAAAGGAATAGCACGCCATAATGGCACGGATTGATTTGACACAGCTGGTTACCTTAGCAATTCAGTCTGAATTGGATTTTCGGGGGCTCTTTGTAGACAGCCATTTAGTGAATGACATCGTGCGGGCAATCAGAAGGGTTGGATTAATAGGCTTGCTTCATTGGCATCTAATGTTTCAGAGTCCTCTATGGGAAAAAGTATTCAGTACGTTTTGGATGAAGCTGTTTTTTAAGGTGCCACTGTCGACACTAAGTGCGAAGAAACCATGATTTGATGGTAAGCTATGCAGACCTGTACAGGGGCGGGGCTATAAATCCGTCCACGCTCGTTGAAAGTTTAGGGCAGTCATTCTCCATATACGGAGTCAAATATGAAGTTCCGCAGTGTGAATTTATGGGTCAGCGGTATTTACAAGTCTCCAAGCCATGGTTGTGTCTGTTATTTCTGAACAGTCATACTTCCTACTGAACATTTGCGTGGACTTCACATTTTTCGGGATAGGTGTAGTGCTTTCAATTGGTTAGAACAATCGCAGATTCTAACATAATCTTCTTAGAAATTTGGAAGACCTAGGACCGCCGAGTTTCGCGCGTTATACTAATTGTGGAAAATACTTTCGGAAAGTTACTTCCAGTAAATACACCCCTTTTAATGACAGAGTGAGGAAATTTGAGTTTTTCAATCGAGATTTTGTCGTGTAGGTGAAGCGAAGTCGAGAAACACTTTATTGAGTACCTCAAGAATCATCAAGGTGATTCAAACCCGTGACCCTCGGTCAGTATTTGAACAAAAAACCGTTCGACCACGAGTGACTGATCACCAGTGTGACCACCTCGAACGTAGACAAGATATATCATCAATCGCCCCTCAATCACGTAATTCACATCTTGTAGTCACGTGTAAACTAGTCCCTCGAGCGACACCTACATTGCATTGAAACCTATCCTCTGCATCCCTTTGATCACCTTCTTTGTTGACAAGTTCTATCCGTGAAAGGAAGAAGGCCTCCGCTGCGGAGTTATTTAATTAGGAAATGCCAACTGACCGGTTACAGACCATTGAACAGGGAATAAAAACTCTAATCTGCATCTTAGTTGCAAAAACTGGACACCGATCTTCTCCCGAACGAGTCTTCTTGAACTTTCCTGGAGATTCATTGACTCCACTCATTCATCTGTCAAATTCAAGCAAGTGTTACAAAGTGGCTCCACGAATTCCGCAACAGATCTCTCTTTTTCAATAGACGCAAAGCGAAATCCTACGAACAACACATACTACTCGCGTGCCTCCCCATCAGTAGTATCACCGTTACACCTGTACCTCCACAGATTGCATGACTAACAGATTTTTTTAAAAAGTTTTACTTCACGATGCGCAGGTTCCAACCCCATTTTTCATATTTGGTTATCTTGGCATATCACTCGATGGGAATTCACCCATACACTCTTTACTACGCAGCTCTGTTTCACTTCGACACCATAGGTACTCCAACATGCCTTCCATCCAAAGAGTGATTTGTTACTATGGCGTTTTTCGTCATTCCGTTATCGATTTGGCGAAGTTGATAACAGCTGTTATTAGTATCCAACTATGGGAAAGTGGATAAAATATGTCATTAGAAATGGTCTCCAGTGTGTTCCCGCAAACCAGGAGCCGAAGCACTATCTGAAAATGAAATCGAACCCATAATGTCTCATAACTTTCCATCTAAAATGTTCGAACAATCGTTCTTCATCGTCACTTGATTCATTATTTATTTATTGCCATTGCTGGACATATTCCCATATATTATGTACGTTGCCTAAAAACTTCACTATAGCCTTCTCAATTTTGAGCGTTGTAATCCTTCGTCCACAGTATGCACCAATCAGCAATCGGGCACACTTGGTTGTGGTCCGCAGTCTTCTACGAGTCTCAGGAAAACTGGTATAGCTTCGTCTACCACCGTGTTGCATTCATCGGCTGTCTGATTGTTGACTAATATTCACAGTGTAGTTGCTCAACTGAACAATCGGTGTTCCGATGTGTTTCTCAGTTGAAGAGGCCTGCATCAGCGTCCCAAAACGGCTAATCTTATATTGTCATGAATTTTATCGGCAAAGGACTGGTCTCTTCGAATCCCGAATCTCCTATCTGTGCTTATTGCTATGTAAATAAACGATTTCTTCAGTGTCTTCAGCAACAAATGCGTTAGCGGAGCTGAGCGCGGAATCCACGGAATGAAACAACATGCCAGGACCTAGCTCACCCAGTCTCCGACTGACCGGTCTTATGATTGCTGGTCGCGCCCTCTTACCAACATGCACCATGAGCTGAATGCACCCTTCATTTGCTGAAGCAATAGTGTAATGTTGCATCCAGCAAACACCAGCGGTGGCTCAAACACTTTTTAAAAGCAGACACTACAGACATCTAACGAAGAATGTACTCATTTGATACGCCCAGGTAAACAGTGTAACTATTAAATGCGTCCTCGAATGTTGGAATTAAAGGGGCCAGGCGGTGAAGACCCCTTCTGCTCACACGCAGCCCAGAAATCCAGTCAACCATTATACTTAAGACTGAATGAGTTCATCTCTGAATTTTATCCGTCAAATCGATCAAGCTTTTGTCGTCTATGTAATACAACAACTTATGAACGATCGAATAATGGTTATTGCGGGCCTACAGAACTAATCGAACGTTTCGAGTGTGTTATGAAATTTCGTCCGATTATTGGCGAGTGTTACGTGCAAACCACTTAATGGATTGTGATCAAAAGTTGTACCTGTCTTGGATAATGATAGAGATCTCATTTCATAAATTGTCCGCGTTGCTTCCCTGGAAGGATCACTAAAACCATCTTCCCGTTGGGATATTGCATGTCGAAAGACCATCTTTATCAAGACACTGCTGTATCTCTTAGCTCTGTTGCTAGTCACTCCTGAGAGTCCCTACCGTACACTTTCTGTGAAATCCCTGTTTTCAGAATTCTCAGGTGACATGAGCTCCAAGTCTCAATCTTCTTGTGTAATGGAAAGCAGAGAGTCCGCATATAGTGGGTTTACGTTCCTATTAACTTCAGGATGGACGATTGTGATAGTATGTGAACCTAAGTGACTGTAGATGTGCTCATGATCAGGAAATCTACAAGAATGTGCTGTTGATGATAGGTATTCAATGCAGTAAGGGATCATCATCATCAATAATCTCCGAGATTGCTTCATGGTCTCAGCTAATCAACCATTATGACTTCCAAGCAAGCTTGTGAATGCTTGTTAATTTGTTAGCCTTCCATCACATGAAGTTTCGTTTCAAGTGACTTGTCCAATCAGCGAACTTCAGAGCGGGGAATAACGTAATGTGAATGGATCAATCAGCGCTTAACCACTGAAAGCATGTTCAGAAATTGCCTTGGTGCACAGAAACGTTGGACGCTCTAAGGCCCTCTCCTAAACGTGGGATGGCAATTCACCTCTCAGGTTAGAAGGGATTTACTTACTTTGTGGTTTTTCACAGTGTCACGCGGCCAGGTCCTTTGGATAACTTGGCTTCTAATTAGGTTTACTCTGGGATAGATAGCGATCGGTCTGTGATAGTACGTAAAACCGTCAACACTCGGGAAAATTAGCATAATCTTGGCCAGCCTAGCCTCAAGTACCAAAACTATTCACATGTAGTCATGTGATGGACGTGCTGAATCCGATTCATGTGTACCAGAGGTTTCGTGTATAGAATGCGAATATATTCGGTCGGATAGATGCACTTGAGGGACTTTTGTCCAATGTTCGTGGAATAATAAGAATACTTAGCCACTATTGGTAATTCGCCAACATTAAATGGATGAATACAGCGAAGGTTGCTGTCTCCTAATGAGAACCTAATGACAGATCAACAAATCCTCACACGACCGTCTGAGTGAGGCCACAAATACAAGGTGCGTTTAAGTTACACTTCTGGTTTGTAAGTCCGGCGCACAATATAAACTGAGGGAATTATTTACCCTGCAGGCTTCTATATGGCCCAATGTTTTGGTGTCACAAGACCAGGGTTGGAGGAGTGAATGGTCGCCCAACCCTTGCGTCTGCGTTGTGCGTGTACTTCGAATAAGGGGATGATAGCACTGCGTTCCGTGATGGACTGTCTCGCGGAAAATGTCCTCTATTTGATGCCTCCAGACTGAAGATGTCTTTCGAGAAAATTAACTTCTCCAGCCTTTGCACGCTAGGGCGTTGTGTTCCCCTGTCGTACGTGACTGCTAATCTGTGCTTGAGTTTCAGTTCCAGCCATGCCATCTGAAAGACAAAGTACCAGGCTCCACCAGTCTTTATGGAATGCTTATTAGTGTACAGGTTATGGTAGCCATAATACAATTATGAAGGTATATGCACTAATGGAATTTTTTACTATGGTTGACAGTGGTGGGTTGCAACACGTATAAAAATAAATGCAATGCGACATGTGGAGCAAGTCAAAATAGGAACTTATCGTTTGTGAGAGTTCCTTGGTGAAAGTCCGGGCGGCAAAGACGTGTTTTCTCCGCAGTACAGCTGCTACGCGTGTTCCGTAATTGTCCGTGGACTTGTGAAGTGTGGTTGACTTCCTGCTCCCTGTGCGTGTGTTGACTGTGTTCGGTATTCCTATTGTAGGTACATTTGCGCGTATTTGGGAGTGTCAGCACATGAGTTGTTGCTACGTTCACTAGACGGTACAGACGGTCAATGTCAGATGAGTCACCTTTGTATGACGTGGTTTGTGAGTGTAGAAAAAAGACGAATCTCGTGATCTAGTGGGCGACTGTGAGCTGAACAGTCAAGTATGTGGGTGAAGGGATAGCTACGTACTCATCTGTTCGCTCGTGTTGAGCTTCCTATTGTTGGTCATACCGCAAGACATTTTTGCGACATGATAAGAAACACAATCCGGTCTCTTTGATTGGCTGTTGGGAGAAGCCGTACGCGAGTGCAATGGGTCTCATATTTGGCCGAAATCGCTTGTCGCAGACAAGAAGCGTGCCATCCGTGTCCTGTAGCTTGGCATTCGCACCGATCACTGACCGTACGATGAGGATTGCTATCGACAGACTAGCTAACCCGGAGTTCTGGCCTATTAGCTGTTTCGTTCCATTGACCCAGTTGGATTGAGGTCAACCATTTTGCTTCTTGGCTTACTGGCTTGTGTACCCTTTCCCACTCCTTCCTATATCTGTACTCGAGAATTTATGTACTAATACACGTGATTCATACCTAGTTTCATGTAAATTTGATATATTGACCAAAATAAACAATCAAAGAAAACACGCTTCGTTCGCTACTTCCGTTATTACCAAGACATGGCTCGGTCGTGCAGCTATTGGCAATGCAACAATAAAGTTATCATTTTCACTTTGTGGTTTATCGACTTTCTACTGTATGTGGAAACCAGGGCTATTGTTCCCCGTTATCCTGCGTCAGCACGAACCTTACTAGGTGCAATTTCTGGACATGAAGATGCTACGTTGTCCTACGTCCTCCTTTGGCTGTTCACCTTCCCTCCCCCCATCATTACAAGGATTCTCGCAACGAGCTGATGAAGTTATCAGTAGTCTGATTACAGATACTCCTGACGCACATGTCTTATTCTTTGTCTCCTTGGATTAAGAACATCATCATCATCGACAGCATGACATCAGTGTTCAACACCGATGCTTCACTGCCGTACAACCATGGTTTATTTGAAACCCCTACTGTAAAGGAAGAGTACAGATGGACGGGATTAAGAACAAATTCACAAGGCTCGTGTTGTTCGGGAAAGATTTAGTTTTCCAAATAAGTTGGTAATTGTGGCCTGTTATCTGGTTGATCACCGTTTGAGAGAGAAAACGGTCCAGCCACTGCCGTTTGTAAGACGCACATCAAGCGATGTCAGAAGTGGGTACATTTTTAAGATAGTACTCGCAAAAGATAAGCTCTTTTACTGTTGTTCTGAAAATATACTCTCCCGAACCAGAACCACCTCTATGATGAGTCTGACGTTGCTCGTTTTTGTCGTTCTCTTAGGGGAAATGATTTCTGAAGATTGGCATTTTTTGGTTTGAATGTAAATTGTGTAATTTTTGGGATGGTCTACTAGTGTGACGGTGATACTGCTGATGGGGAGGCACGCGAGTAGTATGTGTTGTTCGTGGAATTTCGCTTTGCGTCTCTTGAAAAGGGAGATCTGTTGCGGAATTTGTGAAGTCGCTTTGTAACATTTGCTTGGACTTGAGTGATGAATGATTGGAGTCAATGAATATTCAGGAAAGTTCAAGAAGACGCGTTCAAGAGAAGATGGATGTCCAATTTTTGTAAATAAGATGCAAATGAGAGTTTTGCTTCCCTGGCCAATGGTCTGTAACCGGTCAGTTGGCTTTTTCTAATAAATAAATCCGCAGCGAAGGCCTTCTTCCTTTCACTAGTATGTGACCTTGTTTTGCATCTATGATCTACTTCGTTGTGTTCGTATTTTCCTTATTCTCGCCAGTTAAGTACAAATTTTTAACAGACAGTCAATCCCTAGTGAAAACGCGGTTGATATGACTTTCAGCTGAAGACTAGATTCATTTGATCCGAAAATAGAGCATATCCTGGGAGAATGATCAGACAGGTAACTTTGGCATGAACGTAAATTTGGTTTATCTGTGTACAAGTATAGCAGAGTAACCCAGATCAATCACATCGTGAGAAGTTGATATTATTTTCAGTACATTTTCTTCCCCGTTTTTCCGGTTTCAGATTGGCTGTCCGTATAGGCAACACTGTCCACGACTTAATTGAGCTCGTCGAAATTGAACTGCAAGAACCCACGGGCTGGTCGGTTCTACCGCTCACCTGGCCGGACGGGTCACCGGTTCGGACGTTCTTGTTGCAGATTGCCGTGTTAACCAATCACCAGAATGGAAGAGATACACATCTCCGCGCCATTCGCCTACATAGTCCGATTCAACACCGAGGCGTTGATGTATTATGTCCATTTGAAGGTCAAGAATCACGAATGTTTTCTATCCGATAGTGACGTGTTGTTTCGCTCGAAACTGCCGATTACTTCCTGTACATAACTGTATATAAAAGTTGATTTTTTACTGTTTCAGTGATGATCGCGGTGTCAAGACTTTGGCTGTTTCGTTAGTGCTGTTCTTTCTTCAAATACAAATTGAATATGATGACCAAGTTTCATAGGTTTTGGCTGTTGTTGTATTCCTTAGTTGCCATATGTGTAGCGTAATTCTCTGAATTTCGTTGTGGTGTATACACGCAGTTTATCACACAAAAAATGCCACCACCTTTCGGTGACACGAATCGGAACTTAAGCAAACGTCAAGCCGCTTATTCCAACGTTATTATTTCACCGGTTTTCGGTGTTACCAATCGGATATGACACGTGACCAAGATCACTTGATAGACAGCCACGTGATCGTTATTGATTCGTGAACAATTGACCCACGTAGCAACGCCGTAACAATCAAATGGTCAATTGTAAGGATCAGACAGTTACTTAGACTGGATATTATGCATATTCACTAGACATGAATTGAGGATGCTGTTCTGGGAGTTTTGAATTTTAAAAGTAGGAGATTAATAGAACTGACTAGCCCGGGAGTGTTGTTCGGTCCTGCATCAGCTCACCGACTTCCTATTACTTTAAGGTGGAAATATCTCTAGGGAGAGAATCAGTCAGCTTAACAGCTGACCGAACAAATCCTGATAAATGCAGTCGAAAATTTTATGAAATGGACGAACCGGTGTTACGACCACCGAATTTTGCCGACCTTACTATCTTTTTATACAGTATGAACTTCAGTAGGTTCAGTGAGAGAGTCAGTGAGATCCAGATCCTTCAAATCGTTTTGTTAAAACACTGAGAAAATAGGTATTGAAGAGAAGGTCTGCAGTTCGACTGTCGCTAGATTGTTTACGGTGAAATCAAGGTACGGACGCGGCAACAGCGACTCGAGGTTAACTTTTAGATCAAACTGATGAGCAACTGATGAAATCATCAGTAGGCCTTATGAAGTAAAATCACTTTGAACGTGTAGTATAGACTGCAGCTTTCTCATCATTTTGTCCTCACTAGGCACATTTGGACGTAGAACAGGCTCCGTCTGTGATTCGTCGTGACAAGCAGTCAACTAAAATGTCGGAGATGTGTACATTTGAAAATCAACGTTGATCGCAACGCTCCGCTCAAATGTGGTGAGTTTGTCACACCCAGGTTAAACAAACAAGTTGTTTTCGCATGCTTGACCGCTTGGTTGTTTCCACTTACACTTCAACTGGTCAGTAGTCTAAGATGACGTGTGCATCAATTTCGTGATGAGTATTTCTTTTACTTACACAGGCCTCTTCGAACCTAGTAGTTTTCTTCACTCCAATTTTCGGTTTGTGGAATTTCGTTACGTGATTCACCCGAGGATGAGGGCTCGAAACTCGATATATCAGCAGAGGTTGGTGGATGTGCATTGGCCTAGTGCCGAGTATTTCAATGAGAAAATATTGTCGGCAAAATAGTTGAGCACAGAAAGTCTGGGTAGGTGAGGCAGATAATCAGGATCCACCATTAGTATTTTATGTTCCCCCGCTGCATTCGTTCGTATTTCAATGCATTTTTGTCCCCGCACAGGCGTTACTTCCCACGAACCGTCTGAGCACCATTCACAGCGAAAACACCAATGCTCATTAAAAACATCAGAAAACGTCTGTCCTTCTAGGGCGAAATTTGACACCATGCCTGAGCAGGAATAATAGAAATATCAAGGGTCTTGTGTCTTTTAAATCAACGAACCAAGCCTTATACCACGGTATATCATATTAACACAATACAGCCATAAATCGAACCAGAAGCAGGCTTTTCGTCATTTTTAGGAAAGTAGGAAATCAGTTAAACAATGATGTACAAGTGGAAAGTGATTTGTTTGAAGATCGCCTGAAAATTTGCTCTAATTTTACGAATTACGTTCATTTGCAAACCGGTTTTCTTATCACAGGTGACAACTGAATCCCAGCCATATATTTCCTTTATGATATTCTTCGACCGAGTGTACCGCACGAAATCAGGCTCATTTAGTGCGCTATTTGAGATGTCGCAATATTGCAGGTGTTCGTGGTTGCGGGACTTCGTAGAATACATACTCACATGACTCTTAAATAATTTCCCTCTTCTTCTGTCGCAATCATTTTGATGAGTTCACACCAAACGGGGGGATTAGCAGTGGACTCGAATTTTTGCGCTTATTAGAGCTCATCAAATGTGCATATCCAATGGCCGTGCCGGGTATGGAACTCCACACATCTGACCAACGATACACTTTTTCGATGAAACTACTCACACGGTTGCTGACTTCTTAAGTTAATTTGTACAGGTGACTTAGTACTCGTAGGCACACCGTACGAGTTGGGAAGTTATCATGAAGTCGCTTAGGTTTATTTCACTTCCAGGAAAGATGTTGACAATTGAAAACCCTTAACTGTTTTTCCGGTATGAATGTAGCCGACCATGGTCTAGAAAATGGATGTTAACGATGTTCACAACTAGTGATGGTCCTGTGGTGTCAGGCTTTTGGGTCACCAAACGAACCATTACACCCTAATAGATTCCAGAACGACTGCTGTACTTCTTTATGTTTGTATACATATTTTAATAGTCCGAAATCTACTGTGAGTTTGGTTCTCTTCGACGCTCTAACAGCTTTCCCAGACATTCACGGCAGTAAAACTTTGGCATGAAAGCCTCTCGTTACGGAGCACCAACCTCCACAGCATTTCTGCAGGGTCGAAATCCCAGGTGTCACGTTTTATTTGAAGGACGGCTTCGGTTTAGCTGCGGTTTTTAGGCGGCATCTACGATACAGGTGAAGGTACGCAGATTTGCCGCTTATCCTTTCCTAATTGCACAGAGCAGTTATCTTCCGCATGTATTGAAACGCGGTTAGACTATTGTACCGACCGGCCAGGTGCATCCCTGAAACGATGCGACGGACTCTACAGTTTACCCAAATACCCTAGTCAGACTGACGTATCCGAACAGCACAATAGAGGTGCATATCGTCACTGATCGGTAGTTTGCTTGTGGACAGTAGGAACCTCAGTGCAAATGCGTGAGGACGCAAACATGTGACGTGCCAACCGTGACCTGGCTAGTGCTATTGTTATTTCGTGGGTGGCCGTCTATTGGCTACGCCTGCACTGAGGCTGCCAGACTAGCGATAAGAAGACAGAACCGCGGATACGGCTATATTGTCAGGAAAGAACATGCAGAGCCTCTGCGTAAATATATAGGATGACTAAATGGCCAAATATGGTCGTTCAGTTGTTCGTTCTGTACAGCCAACGGCGGTGTTCCGGTCGTGAACACTTTCGGCCCCACTTCACTGGTTCTATGTTGCTAAGCCGTGTTTGGCGAGCTCCGCCAACGCACCTGCATCCCGGATGTGCCGTACCGATGGTGACCTTGGGGATGCCTCACTCTCTGCACATGTACTTTCCCCATGTCTGTGAAGTCGTTTGTCCAAGGGCTTGTACGGATAACATCATAATCTAGGATTATTCGGGGGTTGCTCCATCTGGATATAGTTCCGAAGAATGTTCAATGTCTAGTTTAGAGCTTCGGTCTACATTCATTCACACCGTAGCAAGGCATATATTTCTCAAACCACGAGGAAAGACGAAGTCTCAATACTGAAGAAAAATTATGGAGATTCGCGTGAATGCATCCGCTGGTTTTTCAGATGTTTTAGCCGTTGTGTAATCGTTCTAACGTTAAGTTTCAAGCGGTGTTCAGGAATTGCTGCGTTCCATGCTGTTTCGGATTTATCAGACCGGAGAGGTAAATGAGCCCATACTTTCGTTTTCGTTCCTGGTTTGGTTTCATAAAGATGTCGCTTTCAGTACACAAGCTTTAGGTCTATCACAACAACCATTGGTCGAAATGCTCCCGCCTCACCCCAGAACAAGCTCAAAATTACCTATTCTGCTCCGTTGATACAAAAAAACCCAAATAGACTTTTTGTGGTCATAATGGCTGACTTTTTACTAGACCAACATATTTTGTACCTTGAAGCAAACTAAATCACAGGAAGTTCGAATATATCCGGCGCGATTAACGCGCCATTTTGACAATATGAGCTGAGTTCAGAGGAAGCGGTTTGTCGAGAATGGCGTAGCAAGTGCGTTATGAGCGAAATTTTTATGCTTGCTGCAGTCAGTGCTAGTTTTACTGTCCATCTGAAAAGTACGGTCTTGAGATTCGCGCTGTTAAGTTTTATCACTCCTGGGATGGTCGTTGTTTGATTGTCTCTTCGAATATGTGCAGTTGTCACTTGGTAGACTGTCTGCAACAACACTATAATGCATTATTTATGATGGGTCATAAGTTTCAGACTATACACCCACACTGGATTATCACTAATTTTAGAGTTTGTCGGTTATCGGCCTTCCCTCCACTGGTCCAGTCTTCCCGTATTCTTGTGGCACCGCGACGTCAACATGCGTGAGTGTCTGTGGGGTAGCAGTATGAATGATTAGACTGTCTGCGGTGAGTGTATTCTTAATCGGCGACGTGCCATACGGGGGTGGTAAGATTGTCTTTCTACGGAAATCACGATGTGCCAGATGAGAAAAATCCGCTATTATTGGTGGATGATGGCGAGTTGTTGAAATGTTGTGAATGAGAGCGTGGGATCATACCTCTTATTAGACTTTCTGGGTAACAGTCGGGCTGATTAGCAAACATTGTCATTCTACTTTGTCTGTGTAGTAGTGATTAGGCAGTTTGTACGAGTAGTCAGGTGACGTTGTTGGATGTTTCCTATGTGGTTCCTCATCAACGGGCTGTTGACGAATTTTCGGCAACATAATGAGTAGTGCATTACGAACATACGTGTATCGCGATATCTCGAATATCGTAGCGACTCAAACATGAGGCGGCCTGGTACAGCACATTCAGTTGCCTGAAAACATCACAAACGAGAAATTCAACTGGATTCCAGTTGAGTCTCTCGCAAAAAAAAAACAAATGAGTTTGCAAATGAGTGTATTTCGCGGAAAAAATATCAAATTTTTGGAAATGTACTGAGACTAGAATAACCAACGTCAAGCTTTTTGGCTCCGTAGACGATGGCACAATCTTCCGTGCACATTTGCAACGTAATGGCGCCGCTTAAGACGAACACAACTAGGCGTGCCATCTCGGAGCAAATTTGGTCCAAAATATTGTGTAATTTTTGCTGACACGTACACCTAACCGAGTCGCTCGATCTTGGTTTTGCAAGTCTACGTACCACTCCTTAGAGAATAGCATAAGTTTCATGGAAAGCGCAAAACACCTAATCGTTTTCGCTTAAACGGATCCAGACAATGAGAATATCCATTAAATAACTTCACCTGCCAACGACAGACACCGTCCAGCTCTGGAAGCTGCGGAATTTCTTCTGGGAGTTACCGTATGAAGTGTAATGTTCATCAGTTCCAAGTTTCAATACCTCTAGAAATTATCTACTTCGACTCCTGTTTGGTATAGTGAGTAGTAACAAAAGCTCTTGTGGTTTTCTCTAGTGGGCTTTCTTGAGCTTAGTAAAGACCACTGCAATTGCGAATACTGGGCCTGAATACTTGAATTTTCGGAAAGCCCTTAGGTACCGTCATTCCAACCAGAGTAACCACGCCCTTCCAATTTATCTTAAAATTGTTTGCTAGTCGCCCACACTGTTCTGGTCGGCTACTTGTGACATCATGTGCCTCATACTTCCATTTTTCTCGGTCGTTTATTCGGTGCAAAAGAAGTGAACATTGTTTCGCTCGGGTTCGTGTAAGTTTTTTCAATTAAACTGGTAGTAGTTTGACGCCAACGCGCAGCGGTTCTACCCGTCTCGCCATAAGGTACGTGAAAATATTCCGTTTTATTTGCGTAGTCTACGCTGAATTGACGTAAACCACCCACATATGGCATTGATCATCTTTCCCATGTCTAAAAATCCTATGCTATCCTGAAGTGCCATGCACGATTACCCGTACTTTCTTCCACTACAATCCGTCAAAGTTTAACTCCGTCCGTTAAGCATTAAGTCCCCTTTCCATCCACCTTTACTCTTTTCTTCACAATAATGGTTGTACGACAGCGAAGCATCGATGTTGAACACCGATGTCCTGCTGCGGATGATGACGATGATGATGATGGTGATGCAAGCACTCCAGATTCCTAAACGTATAATGAATGAGTTTGGAGTTTGCTCCTCATCCTTCGTTCAGTGAGATCTGCTCATGTCCATCAATACGCAAGCTTCATATCATCATCATCATCATCATCAGCTGCCACATTTCGTTCACCGATGATTAGGGGTGGGGTAGGTAGCTGCGCATTGCACGCGCGAGCTGGTAAATTGGTGCATAAATCCAGGACCTTCAGTGGGTTGTCAAGCGGGGGGGGGTGGATAAGAAGCTATGCATTGAAGGCAATAGCTTTGATGCATGAGCGCCATTGAGGGCGCGACTGGGCCATGTCTGATAATGTCTCTAAACATTGGTGTGGCCCGTCTCGGGGTCCGCATCCAGGAAGACTGCAGTGACCAGCGCAGCTGAGTTTGCTGGTAATGGCTTTCATACTTCGCTGCCAAGTCATTGTTTGACCG